AAATGACAAGTGATATAAGTGCTCCTATGAATATCGTTCTTTTTATATCACTTGTCATTTCGCCGTTCCTGAGCGCGCGAAATTTCAGCCCTATCATTTGTGGAAAATAATCGCTTCTAATTTAAAAACTATTATAGCCTCGACACTTTTGTATTAGGATTTTCGTCTGGAAATGTTCTAAGGAATCTGTCATTAAGAAGACCTCCGGTGGTTTTAGGACACCCTGTATATCGCTCGTTTGGCCAATATCGCTATGTTAGTAAGATATTCGTCAAAAAATAATTGCACTCTTTTGTTGAAGAATGCAAAGTCAATATAAAAGTCAAAGTATAAACGTTGGCCAGTGTAGGTCGTTTCAAAAAACTATCATTGATTTTATATTGCTGGCGTTAACAAATCTTTTTGTGAATCTATACTTTAATCAAATCAATTCTCTCTTTACTCTTTTAAATAAAGACCTCGGTAAAGCCAGCTGTTTAATTCCTTAGTTAGAGAGGATTTTTCAAAGATTTTCTGCGAGCATTAATTTTAAATGTAAGACACGCACAAGTAGTAACTAAAAACGTGCTATAAATAATAATAAATCGCTAAAAAGTACTATATCAGAGTATTGCATTACGTGGCAACCGTGTCACCTTGTATACGTACATAAGTTTCCATTAACTTCAAGTCTGCTCGTTAATCAACGATGTATATGAGCCCCACCTTTTCGCGTACATGTCCCATGAATATTGTATCGGCCGTGACGTCGACAACGCGATCGGCAAGCCAGGCACGCAAACGCGGTTTTACACAAGGCTCACGGTTGCCTCGTAATCGTCAAAAACGGGGAAACACCACGTCCAGACGTCGCAGAAACGATCGTGGATCGTCTCCACGCGTAATTACACACCGGGGATTACGCGCATGTCGTCATCCGCCAACGGCGACGTCATTTTGGCCCGCGAATGGTTATTAATGACAATTACACCTGTCTAGTTTGAATTCACAATTTTGATTGACAATCATGCAGCTTGACCGGAATCAAGGAACGCAGGTTTGAGAAAGAACATCTTCCAGAGCGAGATAAACGATTTTCGCAAAGAATCTTTTTGCGAAGGCGATGTTTTATCAAAAATTTTCAGTTATTAACTCTAACTTCGGCATGAATGTGGTTCTTAATGATAATAGTTTTAAATTATTAAAAGTTAACTCTCCGTTTTCTCATTTGTTTGAACTTTTAATAAAAATTTAGTAGAAAACGTATCTTTAGAGAACGATTTAATATTTGGGGAAAAACATGTACGTCAGAGGAAAATAATTTTTACTAAAAATTCTGTAAATCGAAGGGAAAATCCGTCGGTCAACTGATGATTTAATTTCTCTATTATATACCTACCTATATATCTATACAATACAATGGTAGATATTAAACTTTTTGCAAAAATAATACCTTGTAAAATTACTAAATTAATAGAGATTCATTCCATTTAATTTCTCTCCAAGAAAAAACAACTCTTTTCTTTCTCAATTAAAAAACATGACAAGCTGTTTACGTGTCGCAAACATTTGGAATGAATGTGAGAAATAATATCTAGTAAAATTATTGAATTAGTCGAGATTCATCCCATTTAATTTTTTTCCAAAAAAAGACTCTTTTCTTTCTCAATTAAAAAACATGATAAACTATTCACGCAAACGTTTGGAATTAATGTGAACGGTAGTTTTGCTTGAAGATATACAATACGAGTACTCGAGATAAGGTCTGCTCGTACGCGACTAAACAAGATTTTTTTTTCGATAAAAAAAATAGTCATTTTCTTTAATAACTGCTATAACTGGTATTCTTCGTATTCTTGGAAACTCGGTAGTACACAATTCACATTCAGCAGATACGAGTAGGAACTGACTATTAAAAAATATAATGACTAATGCTTCGATTTATCTATTAGATGATATTGCATATATTTGCAACGAATTATGCTATTTGTTATGCTCATCGTACGGAATCGTTCGACTCGCGATGACTGCTATTTCATTAACGTCCTTTGCCGGCATTTTAATTATTGAACAGATATTGATCGCGATAAAGGAATAGTGAACGTATGATTATGATATGATGTTATCTGAAATCTATCAAATCGTCATCGACTCGCTGCTATTCTTATCGCGAGTCTTTGCAATCGACATTGTCAAATATCGCGGTAGACAATTTTTAAACCTAAATAGATTGTTCACGTTTTATTTATTGCGGCTGTTATTGTTAAAGAAATGAGTTCACTAACCGGGGTTGCAACGGTATTGATTCTCGGCTACAAATGCAACGTGACTCAGACACCCGTCAGGAGATCGCGTCTCTTCTCACACGTTCATTGCACA